AGGTCTTAAAGCAGCTTTTAAAGCAGACCAGTGTTCAAATAAATTGTGTACATGCAGTGATGGAGCGAAGGGAAATGAAATGAATCAGTCTGTCCTCCTGAATGGGAGACCGGACCCATTTCAGCATGAAGTGGGTACCCAAGGGTTTTCCAGCCTGTACTTGGTTTGCCTCCGATACCTTGCTGTTGAAGATCTAGGAGTTACCTGCATATGACTGTCATTACTGGCCACCCTGATCTCCACTTACACAGATGTAACTTTGATTCAGATAGAGCAACTAAAGTTTGGTTCACCTAGTGATGAAGCTGTAATTGTGCTGAGTGTATTTGGGATACAAAAAGAATTTTGTGTACCTTCTTACTTATTCTTTTCCAGGCCAGAGATTTTAAAAAGTCCCTTTCTGAGGGTTTTGTAAGTTTTGTTTCCATTCCTTGCTTTCACTCTTGTCCCTCTCATTCCTTATCAAAGGTCATAATTTTTTTTTAATGGAATTTGAAGCAAATGGAGGAACAGGTGGTTCCATGCAACTAGCAACTCAGATTGTTAGGTAGAAGTGTCTATGTCGCAATGAAGAAATAGTACAAGCCCTCAGATGGCAGCATACACTGAAAGATCTGAGCTGCCCTTGCTATACTGGGGAGTGTGGGGAGGTAGAGCAGGTAAATGGGACCAGCCCAGATAGGCCTGCTGGCTGGTGGGAGGGCTGGAGAAGGTTGGTGTTCCTCAACACTTACTGACACACAAGGGGATGCTCTCCTTGCCTTTGTGTCCTTTGAAATGCAAGAGAGAGGCAGTCTCCATGAGCTCTATCTCCATGGCAGGGGCACTTGGCCCTAGCTACATCTGAATTAGCTATACTGAACAAATTTTGAAATGTCACTGGATGGTACCCAGTAGCGAAGTTACCTTTCACTCCCTATTTTAAAAGGAGTTACAAGACTGGCACATGCCTCTGCTCCCATTCTTCTTCTGCTTCTTTTTGCTTTATGAAAATGTTAATTTTCTATGTCTCTGGCCACAGGAAAAGGTGGTTATCCTACAAATAGGTGTATGTGCGGACGGGTTCCTGTATTCATCTGAGACCCCGCTGACTTCACTCAACTTCTCTGCAATAGCTGGTGTTCAGTCATGCACGCTTCATTTCAGGGCTGCAGTCTAACTTAGTCTAAAGTTAGTTCAGCGTATTCCGAACAAAGTGAACGGGAATTCAGCCCACAGGTAGCGGTGTGTATGTCTGAGGGTGGAATCTGGTTCTTAGATGGCTTCTAATGATTTTTTTGAGTCCAGCTAAAAATTGGCTGTGTATGTTCTATACATCACTGTGACTAAAGGAAGCAAAGGGAATGGAGCACATTACCTCATTTCTTAAAACTTGTAAGATCAAAGCTTGTTCTGAAGGATTGTATGTCTGAAATACACCACATTCTTCTGTTGGCCTGTGTATTTTCCACTGGTGAAAAGCTTTTTCTTAGCGTTTGAAAGCATATGGTGTTTGGAAAATAGCTGCATTTCTGCACCGGGACATTACATTCTCATTTATTTGGTCTGCAGAAGTCTTAGTTGGGATCAAACACACTTTTGTCTAAGTCTAAGCCCTCTGCTCTGGCTAATGCCGGCCAGGCCCACGCTGTCATCAGTGCACAGGCTCATTCCTAAACGAGTTCAACCTTGAAACAAGTAACATCAAGGGACTTTAGAGAGCGAGCCCACGACCCTTTCAGGGAAGGAACATAGGTGTTGCCTGCTTGAGGCAGGCGGGAGAACTGGACCCAACTGCGCAATGTGTAAGTGCATTCTAAAAAATATCCTGAAAAAATGGTGTTATCATTGGGTCTTCCTCAAAGCTGGCATCAGTTTTTCTCCTGATAATAACTAATATGGATGGGTGACTAACCTGAATTAGTGCTTGCCTTGGTTGGTGGTCTACACTGCATACTGGCTGCAGCCATTTCAGTCAAGAGGAAAACTAATAAATTTAGATCCCGTCTTCAGTTTTCAGTGAAACTCAACATTACTGCAGTGGCCATCAGATAATAAGGAGCACATGAATCCATATATACGAGGCCATATCCTCTCTACTTTAATTCATATTCATAAAAATAGCAAGAGAACAATATAATAATGAATTGTGTTAGTGATGTGGTGATGGAATTATGCAGTTAAATCCCACCGATTTGTTCTCAGATAAATGCCAAAAGGCACAAAAAGGCTGGAGGAGAGGTGCTGTTGGCATGCCTGTATATGTCCATGCTCTTCACAAGAATGCCTGCAACACTACCAGAGCTGTAATTGTGGGAATCTTTATTATACTGCAACACAAACAGTGGGATGCTAATAGTTCCCCTGGGCCTCGCTGATGCTGTGAAAGCTGCATTCTTCTCATCTGTTCTCAGGTAAGTAAATGTTAGGTAGAAAAATGGTAATAAACAATAGAAAAAACAGTGACCCTCACTACGTTACCATTAGTTGCTGATGTGAGCTACCCTATGCACATAGAGTTTTATGCTTGTTTCGCTTGGTAGCATAGTCACAGAAGTGTTCCTCAGTGTTTGGTTGTAGTGTAGGCCCTTCCTTTGAAGGTGTCTAACAGAGCACTCACAAGTGTGCTGAAGCTTCTCTTTGAAACTTCTTTTGTTAAAAATATAAGTACGTACAGAAGAGATGAGTGTTACACAAAGGTGAGGAAAACTCAAAATTCAAACATGACTGCATACAAAACCAATATATATAAATATCTGCACAGAAGCATGAAGCAAATGGACTGTAAGTAAGTATTTTAGCAAGCTCTAGGCTGCACTGAAAGACATATGGTCAAGCGAGAGCTAATAAACTCAACTGAATTTCGGATCAAAACTTCCTCTCCTCTTTGGTCTCTTTGACGCTGCCAAGGACAAAGGTTTGATCTTGTCACTGCGGCTGCCGGGTGCCCTTAAGGTGTTTGGTAATAATTTGGCAAAGTATGTGCTGGCTTGTGGATGTGCATCCTCGTGGATGCCTATTTTGCTACACATGGGACTCCTCTTAATGCACAACAACACAGGAAAACTCCCATCGTGACAGACGCATTTATTTAAACACACTTAAGCAAAAGTGATCAAGAGTATTTAGAAAGAAAACAGCTGAGGGAGACAGCTATCAGTCAGCTTTTACGTACAAATTGCATAGATTTCCATAAGGGCAGAGAGTAGGACTCTTCTGATACCCGTAGGGTTAAAAGACTCCCAGCGTTGCAGGGGGTTCGTTTCATCAAAAGCCTGATTCGCTTGGGCTTGCGTCATCCACAAATCCCAAAACGGGGGGATTCCGGTCTCCTTCCCCGGGTCGGACGGGGTCGCCTCTGCTTGTGTTAACGTACTTGTGTGTCATGCTGTAGTACTGCTCTTGCGGACTGAAGGTGTACAAGAAGGAAATCTTCCACCAGGCTTCGTTGCTGGGAGTCTGAAACAGTGCCGGGTCGGTGCCTTCAAAGAAGCAATTTGTATTTCTTTCGGCCAGCCTGGCTGCGTGCTCGTTGGCCTTGATCTCAAAGAGCTCCCGTTCCTTCTTCAAGTAGATTTTCCAGAACTTGAGCTGAAGATAGCTGACCGGGGAGAAACAGCGGCTGATGCACGTGGCCACCAGGGTCACAGCCGCGATGCTGGCGATCAGGAACCATCCTATCAGCTTGGGAAAGAGACGGGTGGGTTAACGGTGGCTTTGCACGGTCCCGTGCAGGAGCACGGGAGCCAAGGGTGGAGCAGACGTGCAAGCGGTGAGCGGAGGCAGCCTGCAGCGCCTGGAAGAGGCCGCTCGCCGGG